GACAATGCCAAGTTGGGCGGGGGGGAAGCATGCGGGCGGTCCCACTGGGGGCTTCGGTGGGTTTCCCAGTTGGGCCACGAAACGCTGTACTGGGCGGGCGAAATACCAAATTGGATGTGGGGAACGCGTGTGGGCGGTACCACTGGGGGCTTCGGTGGAGCTCCCTATGGGGTCACGAAGCGCTGTACTGGGTGAGTGAAGATGCCAAAGTGGGCGTGGGGGACGCATTCGGGCGGTCCCACTGGGGGCTTCGGTGGAGCTCCCTATGGGGCCACGAAACGCTGTACTGGGTGGGTGAACATGCCACATTGGGTGTGGGGGACGCATGCGGGCGGTCCCACTGGGGCTTCGGTGGAGTTCCCTATGGGGCCACGAAACGTGTGAGGGATGTGCCGAAATGGGTGTGGGGGACGCATGCGGGCGGTGGAGAGGAGGGGGGGAGGAGGTGGAGAAGAGGAAAGGAACGCGGGGACCGTCTCTTCAAAACGAGGACCCAACACCACAGGATGGTTGGGAACAATATTTGCGCCGATGGGAAGCCTTTCCGCATAGATTACACCCACAAAAGGAACCGAGACGAGCGCCCTGTGGCCTTCAAGGCCAGAGCTAGTCTTGATCCACCCTAGGCCTCCACCATTTGGGAGCGGCCAAGAGGGGGGGGTCCAAGAGGGGGGGGTGCAAATCATGACCGGCGGCATGTGCGCGGCCCCGCGGGGGGGCCAGGGACGTAAAGAAATAAGAAGAGGCGCCATGAGATCTGGGGAAATATCATGGCCCACGCCATGACATCCACCCCCCCCTAGTCATCAACCCCCCTCTTTTCCGCCCCCGAACTATGCTCCCCAGACCTCTCCAAGAGTGCGCGTTGCGCAGGAGGTCGAGGCGGATGGAGCCGTGGCGACGAGGCACGGGCAGCAGCACCGCCATCCGACCCTCACATCGGCAGCAGCGGCGGGGACGCAGAAAGAGATACTGCCACTGCTCGCTCGCCATCTGACTACCTACCACACCACCCCAACCCAACCCGAAGACCCGAATTTCGGGTTGGGGGGGGTATGGGCTCCATATGTGTTTCTTCGATGTTCCCCGACCCCCCCCCCCACTGGAAATGGACGGCAAATCGAGGCCTTCGGGTTGGGTTGGGCTGGTTTGGTGGGTGGTGACCATCCCCGTGGAGGCGCACGCTCGAGCCGAACATACAACACAAGCATCTTAGAGCGTATGTCATTACACCAGAGAAACACCCAATCAGCGGATGGTTTGAGGAATCGTGGGATCGAGAACGAGAAAGCGAGAAGGAGATCGACCGGGAACCCGGGACCCACCGAAATCGGCCCGGAACCGATGACCAAAACCCCAGGAACCCGGAACCACGGAACCAAAAACCAATGACCAAAAACCCGGGAACCCAGCCGGCCACGAAAATCGGCGGGGAACTTTCGCCAAATCTTTCAACTTCCGCTAAAACCCCTTCAATGCAAGCACTGATTGGGAGTCAACCGGGTGGCATGGCCGGAGAGAGCGCCCGCCACCGAGCACACCCGAGTGAGACGGCCGCACCGTGTTACGCGCCACCTGTGCCCCGGGGGCTGCTAGATGCGCCCCCGGCTCAAGGCGCCCCCAGCCTTGCGCTCAGTCTCCTCCTCCTCCTCCTCCTTTTCCTCCTCCTCCGCCTCCTCCTCCTCCTCCTCCACCTCCTCCTCGTCCTCCACCTCCTCCTCCTCCTCCTCCTCCTCCTCCTCCTCCTCCTCCTCCTCCTCCTGCTCCTCCTCCTCCTCCTCCTCTCTGGGCCTCTTGAGGGGCGCTCTGGAGGCCTTGGGGGCCGCCTTGGAAATCCTGGGGGCACCTCGGGCCAGGGGCACTTCTAGCAACACCCCACTGTGGGTGCGTGGATGCAGTGGGCTCCTTTGGCCGGGAGCATGCGTGTTTGCTGCTGTGTGATGCTGTGTTTGTCTGTCGTGTTGTCGTCGTCCTCGCCCGCGACCCACCCCGCAGCCCACCTGCGACCCACCCCGCGACCCACCCTCGACCGTGGCGGGCTCGATCTGCAGTGTGCAGATCGGCGCCTGCGGCGGGCTTCGTCAGGGCCTCGCAGACCGCCGACGCCCCCGCTGCCCCCGCACTCTTGTCCGCAGTTCTCCGCAGTGGCGGGGCGCTGCGCGCCGCCCCTGAGGGGCCGACGCAAGCATACAGTGCAAGCATGCGTGGGTGATGCCATGTGAAGGTGGCGGCAAGGAGGCAGCAGCGGGAGGGGGGTTAGGCAGGAGAAATCCCACCAGCCCTCTTGGCGTGAGTGGCCTGGCGAGTGTCTTCGCCCGACCCCTCTTCTTCCCCTTCGGGGAGGGGGGTACCCCTTCAGCCGCCCCGTGTGTCCGAGGAGCGCGGCGACCGCAAGGCCGTGAAAAGATGGCGGACTCTGCTCGGTAGAGCTGCGGGCGGCGGAAGGACGGCCCCTCATCCCCAGCTAGCCCCTGGCGGACCTGAGCATGTCCCCCCCCCCCCCCGAATACGGCTGCGGAGAGACAGAGGTGGGTTTCGAAATGTGGCTCTCGCGTTAGCACCGCACTTTCGCCAAGCAATGCAAGGGTTTCGCGGCTCGAGGGCGGCTCGTGCTCAAGATGTGGCTCTCGCCTTCGCGCCGCACACATTCGTCCTTAAAACTTTGCAAGGCGTTCTCGATTTGCAGGGCTGTAGCCCCCACGGAGCGCCCCCCGGGTGAGCCGCCGGAGGCGGCGCCAGGGCGCTGAGAGTGCCGCGGACTCCTCAGCGAGCCTGCCGAGGCCAGCCGGGCCTGCTTGGAGTTCCGTGCGCAGCCAAAACCAAAGCCTCACCAATGAGGTCCGAGCAGATGGGGTCGGAGGATCGCGCCACAACGCCGATGCATCGCCGATGGGGCTCGATGTGGACACCGTTTTCCTCCGCACCGACCCAATGCATTGCCGAGGCATCGGTGATGCAGCGGCGATGCGGCGCATTCCTCCGACCCCATCTACACTGACACCATCTGGGAGGCCTCTACAGAAGCCTCACAAAGTATGCTCCCCCGTCCCGCGAAAAGGGGGCTGGCAAACCTGCCTACAGATCGATCGATGCGACTCGACAGAATACAGCACAAAGATTGGGCCTAGGGCCAAGATGGTGATTTCTCACCATGTTGCACCCTGTCGCGACAGCGGAACTCAGGGAAAGCTCGGAGGTGCGCGGAGGGGAAAGAGGACCTGGCCCCTCCCCTGCAGGAGGCACACACAGAAAGCGTCACGAGGGCCTGAAAGGCTCCGTGCCCGACCGAGAAGACACCATCCCAGCCCGCTTGCCAAGCCGTGTGCCGCCGTGGCCTGAGAGGCAACCCGGGCAAATCAGCAAGCCTCCTCCCTGCTTCTCCTTTGCCATGACGTGTTCTAGGTTGTGGCGTTCTATGCTTGTTTGGCGTGTTGTTTGCTTGGGCTTCTCGGGTGTCGTCGTCGGCGGCGGCGGCGGCGTCGTCGTCGTCCTCGTCCTCGTCCTCGTCCTCGTATTGAAAGCCCCAGGGGCCCAGAAATGACCCCAAGAAGCACAAAATTACGAAAAGTACCTGGAGGGGCGGGCCGTTGACTCAAGACCCCTATCCTTCACTCCCCCCTCCTCCTCATCCTCCTCATCCTCCTCCTCCTCCTCCTCCTCCTCCAACTCCTCCTGCTCTCCCTCCTCCTCCTCCTCCTCCTCCTCCTCGTCCTCCTCCTTCTCCCCCGCCCTCCCCCCCCCCCTCCCTCCTCTTCCCCCTCTCGGGGCGTCCGAGAGGGGGGGCGTCCACGAGGAGGGGCGTCCGAGAGGAGGGGGCGCAAGCCATGGCCGGCGGCACGTGGGCGGCCCAGAAGGAGGTTCGGGGGACGCACTGCAGTGGGAAGCAGGGCCATGAAATCTCCGGGAAGATATCGTGGCCCCCGCCATGATGTCCACCCCCCCCTGAGTCATCACCCCCCTCTGGCCGCCCGCGACAAGTCGTCCGTGCAGCATCGTCGCGTCTCCCGGATCTCCCCCGAGGAGCGGTCATGCCAGGATACTACGAGGCGAACCCAGCCGTGGCGATCCGGGCCCCCCCCGGGAGAACAGACAGAACTGCCAAATCGACGGGGGTATTGGTTCCCGTATGTGAGCCTCCTCGGACCTCATTGGGGCGCACAACGCGACATACTAGCACGATGTGTCTCCTTGGAGGCGTGCGCACGACCCGAACATATAGTATGACCATCTTGTAATATATATATATATATATATACATATATGTGTGTGTACAGATAGATAGATAGATAGATAGATAGATATGTTTATAGATAGATAGATAGATAGATAGATAGATAGATAGATAGATATATAGATAGATAGATAGATAGATAGATAGATAGATAGATATATAGATATATAGATAGATAGATAGATAGATAGATAGATAGATAGATATATAGATAGATAGATGGATGGATAGATAGATAGATAGATAGATCAGTTGCTTTTGTCCGAGCGGCACGGCCAGAAAGTGCCCGTCACGGAGCTTTCGGGGATGGACTGACCCCCTTAAAAAAACGTGGTTTACTGAAAGCGACCTGAGGCCCAAACCTGGTGGGCGCAAGCCTGGAAAATAGCGGCCGCGGCGCCCTCTCGAGAGCCGAAAACTGACAATGCACTAATCGACGTGTCACTGCTGGGGGTTCTGTCCGCCCCCGAAGCTTTTGCTACAGATGTCTCGGCGCGCGCGGGGCCCCCTCGGGGGAAGCGCACACGTAGTATTTGTGCTGGGGTGACGCCAACTCACGTCTCGTCAGACCCCTGGCGTGGGCCCCGGGAGGACCCCTTCCCCGGGATTGGCACTTTC